TGTTTTCCACGGGCACAGGCGGATGGCAGAATGGATATGGAAGCTTCTCCCAATACGCTCGCAAGCTCTCGGGCAACATCAACGTGAGGATCGGCAACCAGCAGGCTCCAGGCGGGAAGACCAAGTACCAAGCGGGCAAAGGTCAGGTGTTTACAGCCCTGAGGGACATCCCAAAAAGCACCTGAGATTGCTTATCACTGAGCATTCTTTAGAGAAGAGAGCGCAGCGCAAGGCTCCTTGGCTGCATTTACCGGCCCTGATCACATCCCGACCGAACTAGGCAGGGGAACACAAGGCTCTTTGCCTGCATTTACAGGCCCTGATCACATCCCGACCCAATTAGGGAGGGGAATGCAAGGCTCCTTGGCTGCATCTGCACAGGTCCTGCTCACACCCTGAAGGGAACACAAGGCTCCTTGGCTTCATACACAGGCCCTGATCACATCCCTACCCAATTAGGGAGGCCAAGGCTCCTTGGCTGCGTTCACGCAGGCCCTGATCACATCCGACCCAGTCAGGGAGGGAATGCAAGGCTCCTTGGCTGCATTTACACAGGCCCTGATCACATCCTGACCCAGTTAGGGAAGGGAACGCAAAGGCTCCTTGGGAGCAGTTACAAAGGCCCTGATCACATCCCGACCCAATTAAAGGCAAATACAAGGCTCTTTGGCTGCATTCACACAGGCCCTGATCACATCCCGACACAATTAAGGAGGCAAATACCTTGACTGCATTCACACAGGCCCTGATCACATCCTGACCAAGGCTCCTTGGCTGCATTTACCGGCCCTGATCACATCCCGACCCAACTAGGGAGGGGAACGCAAGGCTCTGTGCCTGCATTTACAGGCCCTGATCACATCCCGACCCAACTAGAGAGGGGAATGCAGGGCTACCTTGGTTGCGCGGCCCTGATCACATCCCGACCCAATTAGGGAAGGGAACACGCTGCATTCTGATCACATCTACATGGAAAGGCCTTGAAAAAAAAGCTGGAAATCCTTATCCTGTCTTCAAATAGCTGGAAATCCTGGTGCTTTTTTTGCGAAGGAGAACTACCTGGAAATGCCTTCAAAGAGCTGGAAATCCTTATCCTGGTGCATTTTATGAAGGAGAATTATTTGGAAAGGCCTTCAAAGAGCTGGAAATCCTTATCCTGGTGCATTTCATGAAGGAGAACTACCTGGAAAGGCCTTCTTGGTGCATTTCACGAGGGAGAACTACCTGGAAAGGCCTCTTATCCTGGTGCAATTTATGAAGGAAAACTGCCAGGATCGCCAACCAATTAAGGAGAATCCCGGGCGACTCGGCTGCACATCCCAGCTGGAAAGCTTATCGTCAACCAATTAAGGAGAATCCCGGGCGACTCGGCTGCAAAGCTAGAAAGCTTATCGCCAACCAATTAAGGAGAATCCCAGGCGACTCGGCTGCAAATCCCAGCTGGAAAGCTTATCGCCAACCAATTAAGGATAATCCCGGGCGACTCGGCTGCAAAGCTGGAAAGCTTATCGCCAACCAATTAAGGAGAATCCCGGGCGACTCGGCTGCAAATCCCAGCTGGAAAGCTTATCGCCAACCAATTGAGGAGAATCCCGGGCGACTCGGCTGCAAAGCTGAAAAGATTATCGCCAACCAATTACGGAGAATCCCAGGCGACTCGGCTGCAAAGCTAGAAAGCTTATCGCCAACCGATTAAGGAGAATCCCAGGCGACTCGGCTGCAAAGCTGGAAAGCTTATCGCCAACCAATTAAGGAGAATCCCGGGCGACTCGGCTGCAAATCCCAGCTGGAAAGCTTATCGCCAACCAGTTAAGGAGAATCCCGGGCGACTCGGCTGCAAAGCTGGAAAGCTTATCGCCAACCAATTAAGGAGAATCTCAGGCGACTCGGCTGCAAATCCCAGCTGGAAAGCTTATCGCCAACCAATTAAGGAGAATCCCGGGCGACTCGGCTGCAAAGCTGGAAAGCTTATCGCCAACCAATTAAGGAGAATCTCGGGCGACTCGGCTGCAAATCCCAGCTGGAAAGCTTATCGCCAACCAGTTAAGGAGAATCCCGGGCGACTCGGCTGCAAAGCTGGAAAGCTGATCGCCAACCAATTAAGGAGAATCCCGGGCGACTCGGCTGCAAAGCTGGAAAGCTTATCGCCAACCAATTAAGGAGAATCCCAGGCGACTCTGCTGCAAATCCCAGCTGGAAAGCTTATCGCCAACCAATTAAGGAGAATCCCAGGCGACTCGGCTGCAAAGCTGGAAAGCTTATCGCCAACCAATTAAGGAAAATCCCAGGCGACTCGGCTGCAAAGCTGGAAAGCTTATCGCCAACCAATTAAGGAGAATCCCAGGCGACTCGGCTGCAAATCTCAGCTGGAAAGTTTCTCGCCAACCAATTAAGGAGAATCCCGGGCGACTCGGCTGCAAATCTCAGCTGGAAAGCTTATCGCCAACCAATGAAGAGAATCCCAGGCGACTCGGCTGCAAATCCCAGCTGGAAAGCTTCTCGCCAACCAATTAAGGAGAATCCCAGGCGCCTCGGCTGCAAATCTCAGCTGGTAAGCTTATCGCCAACCAATTAAGGAGAATCCCGGGCGACTCGGCTGCAAAGCTGCTTCCAAGAGCTGGAAATCCTTATCCTGGTGCATTTTATGAAGGAGAACTACCTGGCAAGTCCTTCCAAGAGCTGGAAATCCTTATCCTGGTGCATTTTATGAAGGAGAACTACCTGGCAAGGCCTTCCAAGAGCTGGAAATCCTTATCCTGGTGCATTTTATGAAGGAGAACTACCTGGTAGCCTTCCAAGAGCTGGAAATCCTTATCCTGGTGCATTTTATGAAGGAGAACTACCTGGCAAGGCCTTCCAAGAGCTGGAAATCCTTATCCTGGTGCATTTTATGAAGGAGAACTACCTCGTACAAGAGCTGGAAATCCTTATCCTGGTGCATTTTATGAAGGAGAACTACCTGGCAAGGCCTTGCAAGAGCTGGAAACCCTTATCCTGGTGCATTTTATGAAGGAGAACTACCTAGCAAGGCCTTCCAAGAGCTGGAAATCCTTATCCTGGTGCATTTTATGAAGGAGAACAACCTGGCAAGGCCTTCCAAGAGCTGGAAATCCTTATCCTGGTGCATTTTATGAAGGAGAACGACCTGGCAAGGCCTTCCAAGATCTGGAAATCCTTATTCTGGTGCATTTTATGAAGGAGAACTAACTGGCAAGGCCTTCCAAGAGCTGGAAATCCTTATCCTGGTGCATTTTATGAAGGAGAACTACCTGGAAAGGCTCTTATCCTGGTGCATTTTATAAAGGAGAACTACCTGGAAAGGCCTTCCGCGAGCTGGAAATCCTTATCCTGGTGCATTTTATGAAGGAGAACCACCTGGTAAGGCCTTCTGCGAGCTGGAAATCCTTATCCTGGTGCATTTTATGAAAGAGAACTACCTGGAAATGCCTTCCGCGAGCTGGAAATCCTTATCCTGGTGCATTTTATGAAAGAGAACTACCTGGAAAGGCTTTCCGCGAGCTGGAAATCCTTATCCTGGTGCTTTTTTCTGAAGAAGAACTACTTGGAAAGGCCTTCCGCGAGCTGGAAATGCTTATCCTGGTGCATTTTATGAAGGAGAACTACCTGGAAAGGCCTTCCAAGAACTGGAAATCCTTATCCTGGTGCATTTTATGAAGGATAACTACCTGGAAAGGGAAATCCTTATCCTGGTGCATTTTATGAAGGAGAACTACCTGGAAAGGCCTTCCGCAAGCTGGAAATCCTTATCCTGGTGCATTTTATGAAGGAGAACTACCTGGAAAGGCCTTCTGCGAGCTGGAAATCCTTATCCTGGTGCATTTTATGAAAGAGAACTACCTGGAAAGGCCTTCCGCGAGCTGGAAATCCTTATCCTGGTGCATTTTATGAAGGAGAACTACCTGGAAAGGCTTTCCGCGAGCTGGAAATCCTTATCCTGGTGATTTTTTCTGAAGAAGAACTACTTGGAAAGGCCTTCCGCGAGCTGGAAATGCTTATCCTGGTGCATTTTATGAAGGAGAACTACCTGGAAAAGCCTTCCGCGAGCTGGAAATCCTTATCCGGTGCAATTTATGAAGGAGAACTACCTGGAAAGGCCTTCCAAGAGCTGGAAATCCTTATCCTGGTGCATTTTATGAAGGAGAACTACCTGGAAAGGCTTTCCGCGACCTGGAAATCCTTATCCGGTGCATTTTATGAAGGAGAACTACCTGGAAAGGCCTTCCGCGAGCTGGAAATCCTTATCCTGGTGCATTTTATGAAAGAGCTACCTGGAAAGGCCTTCCGCGAGCTGGAAAAGGCAAGGCCTTCCAAGAGCTGGAAAACCTTATCCTGGTGCATTTTATGAAGGAGAACTACCTGGCAAGGCCTTCCAAGAACTGGAAATCCTTATTCTGGTGCATTTTATGAAGGAGAACTACCTGGCAAGGCCTTCCAAGAGCTGGAAATCCTTATCCTGGTGCATTTATGAAGGAGAACTACCTGGCAAGGCCTTCCAAGAGCTGGAAATCCTTATCCTGGTGCATTCTATGAAAGAGAACTACCTGGCAAGGCCTTCCAAGAGCTGGAAACCCTTACGCTGGTGCATTTTATGAAGGAGAACCACGTTTGCTTGTCCTCAACCTGAATGGGGGCCATGTGCCAGGTGCTTATGCTCAACCAGAATGGGGTGCAGCCGAGTCGCTTCAGTCAACACAAAGTCCTGACACCAGCAATTCCTGTTTGCTTGCCTCAACCTGAATAGGGGCCAGCGTTTACCGCTCACACCGTGCGCTTTGGCTCAATATGAACAGCCTTAAGTCTTCATCCACAGCCATTTCGGGCGCAAGCCTCTGTCACCGCAAAAGGTCTTGAGAGCATTTTCGCATCCCTTGTTTCTCAGCTCAACTGATGCGAGTTGAAATGGCCAACCGCTGCGGCTGTTGGGGGGCCTGAACTGCGAGCTGAAGTGGGACGGTGGCCCGATCGCAAATTTGCGGACCATGGCCGGCCACGTCGCAGGCTCTGTGCGCTGGACAGCTGCTGGGCTGAATGAACCGGAAGCCCACAAATACCGTATTGCCATGCTGTTTCGACCTGTGAGCTTCTAGGCCCTTCAGAACGTCACGGTCGGCGACGTCATCTCAGCCATGGGATCTGAAGCCCATAGTCACGAAGCACTGTCGCGGCAGACGCATCTGGCAATCCTGATCAACGGACGATGGCAGCCAGAAGAGCAGCCAGTGGCCGGACCGTTTCTTCTCTTAGAAAAGCTGCCGCGATGCAGGCTACGGCACAAGCAGTCGCTGGCAGAACATCTGTTTCACGCCAATCTTCATTCGCTCTGACTCTCAAAATTCCACAGAAACGGCCGGTCATGGGCTACTCGCTTCTTCTGTGCATTGTTGAGCCATGTTGCACCTCTTTCTTGAGCTTGTGAGAAGGTAGGGACGGCCGAGCCTTCCCGTGCTTTTTGTTGCTTGTGCAGCGCGCTTGGGCTCAATTCGAATCGTTTTAAAGTCTTCATCCGTGTCCCGCTGCGGCCAGGCACCATTGGGGTACAAATCTCAATCGTCGCAGCTGTTCGTTTCGTTTTTGGAACATGGCCGCTGTCTTGTTTCTCAGGTCGACTGGTGCGACAGCATGCTCGAAGACACGTGCGAGGACTTGGAGAGCAGAGACCACTCGATTCGCGACTCCGAACAGGCGGACTTCGAGGACGGGTTCGACGACTGGGACTGGGTCGACAGTGAGATGCAGCGCGAAGCCGAGGAAGATGCGCGTGAGAGAGTACAGTGGAGCAAAGAAATGGAAATCCAGAATGAATACCGCCAGCGTCTCGCCAACATGACGGTGAAGTACCTGAACATGCAAGGTAGCGAAACCCACACCTCGAAGCCTTATCCACTCTGCCATGTCGAACCGTGCGAGTCTTTCCGGGAAGCCTGGCTGCACACTTTGCACGAAGGAAACAGCCCAGATCGCCGTCTCTCCCTGCGCCAACTACGTCTCAGACGACAAGAAATTAAGAAGCCTATCCCGGCGGAAACGCTGCAATATCGCAGCGCCAGGGAAGTCTTGCTTCACGATTTGGACAGCGGTCCTGCAGGACCCATCCCCCTCGACACCACGAAGCTGGTCTTGGGCGGGGGCGTGATCACAGACACCTGGAGCTGGCGTGAACTGTTGGGTCACAGCTTGAGCAACGACGTCGTGCACGTGCAAGTTGTCTACATCTCAGAGAAAGCCACAGGCCCGTAGAGCTGCCCATGTGAGTACGTTATGTCTCAGCAAGACAAGCCTGCAGAGCTCCAGTGTGTGCCACGAGAAAGAAACTGAGCAGCGAGCAAAAGGCAGGACAGCTGTGTAAGTGCTCGAGCATGGCTTCTCAAGTTGCTTCACTGAGCCTGCTTGCAGTGTTTCGGATACAGCCCCTAGGTGCAGAATAGAGAGCTGAGGATTCAGGATTCGTTGCCATGGCCCCTTGTCATCGGTGCGGCTTCGGGACAAGGAGCGGCAGAGGACAGGGATGGTGCAGCAATCCGCAGTGCCGCCAAGCCGAAAAAGAGGAGTGCCTGGCCCAGAAGAGCGCAGAGAAAATTGCTCGGCAGCAACAACGGGCAGCGCAGGGAGCGGGCAGTCGTGGACCCTTGCGCGAAGAGAACAGCAGAAAGGCAGAGCGCCGACAGCTGCATGAGGAAAGGGCGCGAGCAAAGGCAGAGGAGGAAGCAGGCGGCCGTGGACCTTTGCGTGAAGAAGACAGCAAAGAAGCAGAGCGCCGACAGCTGCGTGAGGCAAGGGCGCGGGCAAAGGCAGAGGAGGAAGCGGGCGGCCGTGGACCTTTGCGGGAAGAAGACAGCAAAGAAGCAGAGCGCCGACAGCTGCATGAGGCAAGGGCGCGGGCAAAGGCAGAGGAGGAAGCGGGCGGCCGTGGACCTTTGCGGGAAGAAGACGGCAAAAGGGAAGAGCGCCGACAGCTGCGTGAGGCAAGGGCACGGGCAAAGGCAGAGGAGGAAGCGGGCGGCCGAGGACCTTTGCGGGAAGAAGACAGCAAAGAAGCAGAGCGCCGACAGCTGCGTGAGGCAAGGGAGCGGGCAAAGGCAGAGGAGGAAGCGGGCGGCCGTGGACCTTTGCGGGAAGAAGACGGCAAAGGGGAAGAGCGCCGACAGCTGCGTGAGGCAAGGGCGCGGGCAAAGTCAGAGGAGGAAGCGGGCGGCCGTGGACCTTTGCGGGAAGAAGACAGCAAAGAAGCAGAGCGCCGACAGCTGCGTGAGGCAAGGGAGCGGGCAAAGGCAGAGGAGGGAGTGGGCGGCCGAGGGCCCAGGCCCATCGCCTCGGAGATTCAGCAGCAGGGCTACCCTTTTCCAGACGAGGACACCTTGACCCAGGAGCAGGCACAAGCCCATTACTTGGCTTTTGCGCGGAGCTGGAGTAGATTTGGCCTTTCTCGCGTGTGCCAGAAGTGCCAGACTCTAACACCAGGGAGGCACTGCAGAACAGCCAAAGGAAGTGGCCAGCTGCTCTGCAGGAATTGCCGCGAGAATCGCACCAAGGTGGTTTTGCCAATCCCGGCCCCCATCCCAGAAGCACTGCAAAGTCTGCAACCCATCGAGCAGCATCTCCTCGCCATGGCACGCATCTCGCAGGTCTTGTTGGACAAGCTGCCATCAGGCGGCCCGAGCGCGCAGTGGGGTCGCATGTACGCAGTGCTCATGCAGGATCCTTTCATCTGCGACGTCCTCGAAGGCGCCACTTTGGAAGAAGACGGTACAGTGCTGGTCGAGGGCGTGGACGGCATGACCGCATCACCAGCGCGTTTGGAGCACCTACACGCGGCCTTGCAGGCCTTGAAGGAACTGCACTGCCTCTATCAACGGAGCCCGGCAGTGGACAGAGCTCTGGCGAGAATGGCTGCCATCCTCGCCAACAAGACATCCGCTGCGGCTGCGGTGCCAACAGACCCACTTGCGGGAACAGAAGCAAACCAAGAGATCGAGATGACATACCTGGTGCCGAAGCAATTCCAGGCCCCAAAAGCCGACGTACAAGATTTGCGAAAAGTGCGAGGATCCGCAGACCTCAGCGATGGCATGGATGCAAAATTCTTCCCACACTTGTTTCCCACCGGCACAGGAGGCTGGAAGAACGACAACGGAAGCTTTTCCCAATATGCCCGGAAGCGTCTGCTGAGCCTGGATTCCCGCTTCGAAGCGTCCACGGCCTACATCATGTGGCTGCTGGAGATGCAGACCAAGAAGCGACTTTCAGGAAACATCAACGTCCGGATCGGCAACCAGCGGGTGCCCTACGGCAGTAGCGACTACGAGAACGGTAGCCGTCAGGTTTATGCTGCCTTGCGGGACATGCCTGGCACGCAGCCGTACCTGTACGCCAAGAAGGGAGTGGCGCTCAACATGTACGAGCAGCTTGGCGCTCCCAACTTCTTCATGACACTGTCCTGCCACGCGCGCCAGCCTGCGTTGCTCCTCGCGGCTATCTCGGCACGGCTGCTGCGGCTGCATCCCGACCGCCCTCAGGCAGAACTGGAGCAGCACGCTGCGGAGATCCTATTCCGCTACCAGAATGACAAGAACTTCACTTGGGATGGGTTGTCGCCCAACCAGTTGTGCAACCAGCAGCCGGCAGTGGTAGCGCGACAATTCATGCACCAAGTCTCTCAGCTGATGTGGTGGCTGTCCAGCACGCGCGGTCCGAAAGTCCACCTGCACGAAGATGCTGATCCACAAGATGGAGTCGAGGAGAACGACTGCGAGGACGTGGAGGACGACGCCCAGGCACCCGCCACGGATTTTGCAGGCCTTCATCGCCGCATGCGCAAGGAACGGCCTCCTTTCAAAGTGTTGGACTACATCATTCGCATAGAATGGCAAAAGCGGGGCTACCCCCACGCTCACATCCTGCTTTGGATCGAAGAGTGGGCCAAAGCAACGCAGCAGCCAGACAAGATGGCGCCCGACGGCGAAGACTCCGAACAAGCAGCAGAGACACCGGTTCCAGACTGGTCTGACGAAGAGGCCATGGAGAACTTCATCCCCAAGTGTGCGGAGGACCTCAGCGACAAGTACATCTGCACCAAGTCCCCGAACACGTGGCGCCAATCCCACCGCGTACCACCCAGAGATAGAGAAGTGAACGCAAAGCTGTCCGCAGAGGTGGTTCACAACCACACGCCATATTGCGGCATGTACTCAGAAGGCGCCTGTCGATTTGGATTTCCACATGATGCAGAGCCCCGGACTCGGCGTCGAACATCGCAGGAGCAGTACGCCAACAGCCGCTGGAAGAGCAGCCTTGCGACGAGACGAGTGAAGGGAGACAGCATGATGGGACAGTACAACATTCGAATCTTGAGAAGGTGGAGGGCAAGCATGGACCTGCAGGTCATCTGCGAGCTCACCAGCGCCAGTCGGTACATACTGGGCTACACTTTCAAGTCGGAGGAGGATCGCGAAGCGCAGCGGCGAATGGAAAACATCCTTGCCATCCTAACAAGTCAGAGCGCAGGCGCCGGCCTCGACAATCAGAAGATCTACAAGGCAGCCCACGCGGCGTTGCAGGGCAGGACCACGTCGACCTTCGAGGCATGCCACCTTCTGCTGGGCTTCCCGATCATCGAATTCTCCAGGGACAACGTCTGGGTACAGGTGGGGCCTCCAGACACCTGGACAGTGTGGGTGCCCAAGCATGAGGAACAGGTGGCCTTGCAGCAGCCCACTGACTACCGCAACAAGAAGATGCGCCAAGGTGGGAACCTGCTTGTTGCTCATCACTGGTACCGGGAAATGCAAACCACCTTCGGTGAACATGAGACGACCTTGCCAGTGGAAGGCAGGGAGCCGGTTTCCTGTCGGTTTAGTGAAGTCACCTTCCTGGACTTTTGCGCGGCTTTCAAGTACATCGGCGTGCAAGAACCACAGCCTCGCAGGCGCCCTGCAATCGTCGGCTACCAGAACTTCAACCCGGACGAGGAGGCCGAAGCTTTCTACTACTCCAAGTTGCTGCTGCACCTGGTGTGGAAGGAACCTGGAGATTGGCTGTTGGAGCAGGATGCAGGAAGCCATGCAGCAGCGTTCCAGCGCATCGCCCGAGACGTGCGCGGCCACCCAGAC